TCCCCTCCCGCTTCCTCTAAACCCCCCTGCCCACCTTCCCCACCTTCCCCACCTTTCCCACCTGGCAGCCGACGTCACCCTGGACCCCTCGACCGCCCACCCCCGGCTCAGCCTGTCCCTGGACCGGCGCAGCGTCCGCCTCTCGGAGCGGCGCCCGGAGCCCGCGGGCAGCGCCCGGCGCTCGGACGGCGGCGACCTCTGCGTGCTCGGAGCTCCGGGCTTCAGCGCCGGCCGCCACTACTGGGAGGTGGAGGTTGGGGGGCGGCGGGGCTGGGCCGTGGGAGCCGCCCGTGAGACCACCCGGCACGCCCGGCACAAGGGGGGAGCCCCGGCGCCCCCCAAGCGCGAGATCTGGGCCGTGGGCACCAGCGGCAAGAAGTACCAGGCGCTGACGGCCACCGAGCAGACGGCGCTGGCGCCCGGCGAGCAGCCCAGGCGCTTCGGGGTCTACCTGGACTACGAGCGGGGCCAGCTGTGCTTCTACAACGCCGAGAGCATGAGCCACATCCACACCTTCCACATCTGCTGCCGCGAGCGCGTCTTCCCCTTCTTCCGCATCCTGGCCAAGGGCACCCGCATCAAAATCTGCACCTGACGGGGCGGCGGCGGCGCCGGGTGCTGCCCTGCCCTTCATCCTCATCATCCTCATCATCCTCGTCATCCTCGTCATCCTCGTCATCCTCATCCTCCGGCCGGCTCGGGATGGGCGAGGAGGCCCCGCGGGAGCCGGGCTGGGGGTTTTGGGGACGGGGCGGGATCCACCCCGGAGCCAAGGCTCGGGTTCGGGGTTTGGGCGGAGCTCGCGTTGGAACGGAGTTGGGATGGGGCAGGGTCCGCCCCGTTAGAACCGGGTTTGGGTCGATTGGGGCAGGGTTTGCCCCTTTAGAACCGGGTTTGGGTTGAACGGGGCAGGGTTTGCCCCTTTAGAACCGGGTTTGGGTTGATTGGGGCAGGGTTTGCCCCTTTAGAACCGGGTTTGGGTCGATTTGGGCAGGGTTTGCCCCTTTAGAACT